CCTGAAAACGAAAGGCCAGACCTTCTCTGTTATCCCTCCCCGAGCAGTTGAACGTTGGCTGATACCCTTGCTTAGTTTTGGAGCTTTTTATTCTTCATCTTTACCTGGTTTTACCAGGTCCCTTTTCCCATAATCTCTTTCCATATTAGAAGATAACATAATTAGAAAAATAGTCCTGGCTTCTGATAGACTGGTCCCCATTTCCTTTTCCCCAAGACCCTCACCCATCACCATAACCTGTTTCCGTGATGGACCCTGTATGTCCTCAGCTTCTCAGCGGCAAAGGCCATGGGTTTGGAACTAGAATTCATTCATGCTTACACCATCTGTGAAAATTCAGATTCAGTCCATGCACACGTCTATGTTTATTTGTGGTTTTGAACCTAAGCCTAAATTTGGACTGAAATTGCAGGGGGGGAGGATAAAATGAGGTTTCATTTCACTGTTCAGAGAAAGCAGTTTCTGATTTTCATTGGTAACTCTTAACTCTAAAGTGCTTTCTCGCATTAAGAAGCCAATAAAATCTCTCCTGGGTTTTGTGGGAGGGAAAGCTATGACCATACGGACCTGGGGATTCCAAAAAGCAGTACACTGTTAATTTGGGGGGCAGAGATAAACATTTATATAACTGAGATTATTTTATTTATTTAATTAGGAACTTGAACATCAGAGAGGAGCCCTCATGAATGAAATCCAAGCCGCAAAAAACTCTTGGTTTAGCAAAACCCTGAACTCTATCAAAACGGCCACTGGCACCCAGCCACTGCAGCCACCACAGGCCACCCAGCCACCCAAGGAGAGCACATAGTTCCAGCCTCGCCCAGGCACAAGAGCACAATGATCAAAGCGACAGAAACCCAGGAGGAGTGTCCCCGGTGTCCCTTTGAAGGAGAGTAAAGGAGGCCAGAAAGCAAGCCAGAATCTCTCAGCAGCTCTCTTTCTTGCTTGACACTTGGCAAAGGGATGTGACTTAAACTGCCCCAGGTTATGTTGAATACCTGTTTTTGAGCTTCTTCAAGGGAGGCCACGTTCAAGTCCATCATAGTAATTACACATTATTTTATATGCCTGATGTTTAGTTGGAAATAAGTAATTCACAGCTAAATGCCTTTTATTTAGATCTAATGATTCATAATTACTTTTATCTCACATAAAAATGGAGATGTCTTTTATTCCAAGGTTGAAGTGATAAGATGATATTTGTCACAGCCAGAAAAAAAAGAAGAAAGAAAAAAAGATCGAAACCTACAGCTCTGAAGTTTTCAGGATTTATTCACAGAAAGCACACTGGGGCCATTCGTGATGACCATCGGGTTTCTTCCAGAACCCTAGATAACAATCATCCTGCCCAAAGAATTAACCTGGCATTGAACAGTCCCCAAAAAGAATTAGTTTATTTTCATTTTCTGTTGGGCATATCTGGAAATGAAGTACCAAGAACCACAGAATAGGATAGACTATTGAGAATACACACTAGGTGAAAGGCACTGAGCTTTCGATAAACGCAGGATAGATCGATCGTTTGGCCCTAGTATTCTAACAGGTCCTTTTGAGAAACTCTGCGTGGGGATGGCATACACAGCTGTGACTTGCAGCAAACGTGAAGTCAGTAGTGTCTAGTGTGAGCTGCAGCATTAGGGAACCTTTACCAGACAAGCCCAGAGAGGCCCAGCTTCAGCCGTTTGTGCTTAAAATGAAATAGAGAATCAGGGACAGGGTATTTCATTTAATATTGACATATATTTGTTAAGGAAACACTAATACACTATAACTTTGTTAAGTTATGAAATGGGAAATGCAGGTCAGCTTCACATCATCTTAGTTTACTGTTGGACAACTCTTCCTGATTTCTGTAGCTCCCTGAAAATGTGCCCTTGGTACCCCAGATGAAGAGATGTAAATGCATTGGTAACATTTTTCATTGAATACAGAATCTTTATAGAAAGACTTATCTCATGGAAAGGGAACGCTGTTGTTTAAAGGTTGGTGGAAATAGTTTTTTCAACTATATTTACCATATCTATGTGAATAGGCCTTGCAGGAAGTCCTTTGGTAAGGACAAAACTAATTTTCCCATTTCTAAGCTAGTTTGGAGGCCTTTGGTCCTTTTACACCAACCAAACTGCTATCAGCATGTACAATAACGTTTATTGATACTCATCCTTGGCTTCATTGTTGAACATGTTCTTTGCAAGGACCTTAAGCTCTGTAGTGCCAGAGTGATTCTCATTCTCATCAGTGCCATATGTTGCAATTGAGAGTAACACATTCTTGGAAGTAAAAATTAAGAGCCATCTCGACTCTGGGAGCGTGCACTACAAGTTGCTCATGGTAATCCTTCCCTCCAAAAGGATCACTAAACTCTAAAAAGTTAAGTCTCCTTCCCTTGGGTTTATGTCGTCTACAACCATAAAACTGATATGGATGTTACCCTTTGTTACCACTCATCAAATAATACTTTTCTTACAGAATTCTTTGTGTTTTGTCCTGACATCTTTCATTATAATATGCATTTCCTTGTACCAAAAAGAAAAAGAATCCAGCATTCTGAGTGTCTGTGTTGACTACTGTTCTCTACTTGGTGATTTAGAAAAGGTAACTTTTTTTTTTTTTTTTTTTGTAAAATATAATAGCTAGAAAATTGCATCTTGGTACTTGTTTCTGTAAATTGTTTAGTATAATTTTTTAGCTTTGCTGGTACTTTATGCTTTTATTCCAAGAAGCCTTGTTCAAGTTGCCTTATCAAACGGCCAGCTAAATTAAAGATATTCTTTTGTGTTTTGCGAATCTCATAGTTTTACTGTAAGAGCTCTTTTTAACCTCCAAAAATCAGCACATTGCACAGAATGCCTAAATTGCAGTATTTTCCTTACATCATAGTTGAGAGAGAGAATGGCCGTGGGTTCAGTCTTCACTTGTACGACCTGGCTCAAATCCAGAGTCCCTTACATCTTTTTTCTTTGAACAAAACCACCAGGTACATGCATTCCAAATGTGTAATGTCTTTTGCATTTTCTCTCAACTCTTTCAAAAGATTTTAATGGCCATCCACAGATTTTATTTTTTCTTCTCCAGTTCCGTATCCTACTTAGGTATACGTATTGGAACCGTAAGTCTAAACTGTTCCTCTGTGCAATGCCTTGGGGTCAGTAGCGATACTAAGACAGAAAGGAAGAAAATTCAAAATTTGGTATATGATATGGTTATTCATTCAATCTGTTCTAATAGCACTCCCCCAAACCATATATCCTTCCCCACACAGAGTTAGCAAACTTGTGCATCCCGGTATTAAGTAACTGCTAGTTTTAATTTCACTTATTTTGAAACATATTTGAAAATTGCCATTCTTCTCTTGAATTTCTTTTAGACATTAACCCAAATAGCTAGGAAATTTCCAAATATTCTAGAGTGGCTTTTGTCTTTTCCTAGGATATGTTGTAGAAAACATTCCTCCAAAAAATCCAACATTTGCACCATTCTGAAGAGTGATGACTGCTTTTTTCATTAAAGTCTGCAGAATAAATAAGGGAATGAATTTCAATTTGATAATTCCGTTCAATAGCTTTTGTATCTTGAGACTCTTGTTTAACACATTCTTTAAAGCCGAAACCAGGCTGAAGTTTGCAGTGCATATGTTTGCTGGCTTCCCACATCCTGAGCTGTGCCACAATTTGGTTATATTTAGTTACATATAAGTTAATGCAAAGATATTCCCAGTTACGTAATGTTCTGTTTATGAGTGCCTATCAGAAACGCTAATAGGAATGTCATAGGGGGCCTATGGCCTCTCTTTCCATGTATAACCCCTCTCTCTCTTGCCGTCTCCCAGCTAGTAAGTTAGTAATTTCTTCACTGGCCTTCTTAAATTTCCAGAGTAAAGTACAAAAGCAATGTTGGGATATTTAGTAATATTTAATAATAATAGCTATCTTGTTTCATATTTTTCCAGAATTTTCATTCTTTCATATTAATGACTATTAATATTTATTTTTCTCATACCCCTATTTTCCAGTTAGTAGCTAGTGGCTTTATTTCCCAGAGAAAGTGAGAAAAACCAGAGGATACACAGGTTAGGGCAAGAGATCAGAAATCCTTAAAGGAGTTGATTAATTACTGAGGGTGGAGATCACATATCTAACTAATATAAGGGAGCGAGTTTTCTGTAGCCAAAATCAGCCTGCTAATTATTCTGCCAGAGCGGTTGTCTGATTTCAGGTCCCCTTTACGGGAAAAAGGAGCTTTTAAAAAAATTAAACACCCTGTTTGTTTTATCTCTGGGAAAGAACACTTTTAATTACTTAGCGGGAGAATTCTGTTGTAGAACTTGCTCGTTAAAACAACACAAAGTCTAAAGTAGCTCTGATTTTCTTGCTTCAGTTACAAGTAAATGAGAGAATGGGATGAACTCTGTTGTTTAACCTGGATGCTGTTAGATCTGTGTGTGCGCGTGCGTGGTAGAATTCCATAGGAAGCATCCCTGACTTTTTTGTGCAGCCAGGTACTGTGCAACTGAACACACCCACAGCCAAACAAGAGTTTAGGGGCCTGTGTTTCCTCCTACTCCCAGATGCAAAACTGTCGTTCCCTCTGGTCGCCGTGCTGATGTCACACTGAGCTAGAACTGTTCTAGAACATCCTTCCTCTCGCAAAGTGACTTCCACGTAATACAGGCAAAGCCCTTTATTTAAGGAATTTCCCTCTCTCCCAAAAGTTAACCAAATTGAACACCTCCATGTGGGCTGCGTCTCCACATCTGAGGATCAGGAGATGTGAGGAGAAAAGCAGGTGTTTACAAGAAGCTTCAGGGCTACAGGCAGCGACAGGTGTTCCTGCCCTGGCTTCCCTCTGCGACACTATGTGGCAGCGTCTCTTGTCTCTTCAAATGAATTCGTTCCATGTTAGAAGCACATCACAACATGCCCCATTCTCCACCTCCGCCCTTGGTTTATTATCAGTAGTAGTCTGAAAACTAAGAAAAAAGCACCATTGGGTAGAAAATAAACATTTTAAAGTTACTTTACTTTTTCATTGGCAATGAGTTAACATGTAAAATCTTTTCCATTAAAAATGTACCTTTTAATAACTATATATTATATATGGAATAAAGTATAGGGAAACTTAATTAGAAGTACATAAATGCATCAAGACTCTGGTGTCATGAAAGCACAAGGATCAAGCTGGAGATGGTCCCAGAATCCAAGATGACCCAATAGCCCTTTGCATCAGTTTCTCTGTTTTTGGTGTTTTGCTAATGTCTAGATCCTCAGTTCCAATGAAGGAAGACCTTTCTCAGCGAGCATCACTTCCTTTCCTTCAACTCCTACCTTTCCCTTGCAGAGGAGGTAGCAGAAATTCTGTACCATTTGTTTTTTATGAATTCTATGATTTTGCCCACGACTTCTCTAATGAAAACAGGTTCTAGAATAAAGGAGTTGATTGTAGTGCTGACTACAAAAGAAACATGAGTGAGCAGCCTCTGTGAACACTGACCAATTCGATGTTTCCACAATTCCATGTATTATGTATAGTACATGCTATCTGTAAATGTAATGCTTGTTAAGAAAAGTGCAATTTATTGTACATTGTCCCAAGAAATGTTTACTTTTTTAACAGTTACGAACTTGAATCAGTATCTTGTTTTCATGTGTGAATGAAGCCTTGTGAAATAAACAGATTCAACCAAAAAGTGACCAGGTGACTGTCTCTGTGAGTCAGTGATGTTGTCAGTGCTTTGTGTTGCCCCCTTGGCCCCGTTAAGCAGTAATAAACATTTGTTCTGAAGTCCACATATGCCTTCTTGATGTTTCTAGTTGACTTGAGTCTGAATCCCTGGAACCCAATGTTTACGTCACACTTCTTACCTGACACTAGACTCCACAATCGATTTAGAAAGAAAAACTGTGTCAGGAGTTTGCTCCAGGCTCTGCCCTGCGAAATGGTACGGGGCACAGCGGCACCAAGATCCCTTGGCTTCAAGCAGCAGACACTCTCACAGCCAGTTTAATCATAATAAGGCAATTAATTAAAAGGACTAGGTAGGGTCATCTCATAACGGCCAAACAGCTGGGCCTGAAGAGACACTGTGACAAGGACTGGGATGCCACCAGGAACTTAGGCAGCTGTTTCCATAATCTTCTTGTCCCGCCAGGTCATTGTTATTTGCTGCTCGGAAAACAAGTTTTTCCTGCTTCCACGTGCACAACTCCCAAGTTCCCGTGTTTTCTCTTCAGGTGACCGGCAGAGATGGACTGGCATCTCCGTGTCCCTATTCCAAAGGCTTGCAAAGATTGGGTTGGCTTATCCTGGATAAGGTAGTTGCTGCGAGTCTTTCAAAGTACAGCACGGTGGGTGACCCCGTAATTGAGGCAGGACCCCAGAGGAGTTCTTGAAGTGGAGGCAGAGTATGTAGATTTTCCATTTGCATTTTGTTCAGGGAGTCCACGGAACCTAAGTGAAATCCAAGAGATTAGTCAGCTCCTCTTGGAATTCAGCACGTATTAACAGATATTAATCAGAGACTCGGGAATTACAGTTTGTGGTCCAAACCCAGACCAGACACCTCTTCTGTTTGGCCCATGTCATAGTCTTTATTTATTTATTTATTTATTTATTTATGTGATCTCTACACCCAATGTGGGACTCAAACTCATAACCTGGAGATTGAATCATGTGCTCTTCCAACTGAGCCACCCAGGTGTCCCTGGCCAGTGGGATTTCTAAATGAGAAATTTTGCATAAAAAGTAAAACAGCAAAATTATTCAGAAAATAAATACCGAAATTTGCGTTGAGTCGAGTGTTCTGGATATGAACAGTAAATGGAATTCACAGTTCACTACTGATTAAAGTCTTGTACTTAGTGAAGTTACATGTTGAACTGTAGATTTACGTCCTGTAGGGATGCAAGTCCCTATTTTCTTTTCAGTGCAATGGATAACTCCAAAGGTTACATACAATTCACTACCCTGTAAGACATTAGCCAGTCTGTATCTAACTTGGTGGAGTGAGGTTTTTTTTAAGATTTTTGTTTTTGTTTTGTTTTGTTTTGTTTTGTTTTGAGACAGCACAAGCGGGAGAGGGCCAGAGAGAGAGTGTAACACAGAATCAAGAGCAGGCTTCAGGCTCTGAGCTATCAGCACAGAGCCCAAGGTGGGGCTTGAACCCACAAACTGTGAATCATGACCTGAGCTGAAGCTGGATGCTTAATCCACTGAATTGAATAAAATAGTTGTCACATGTCCTTTTATATTTGCATGGGATTCTTGATTTCACCTTTTTGAAATTATCCTGTAACTAAGCTTTTTTCTTTAAATTTTTTAATGTTTTATTTATTTTTGAGAGAGAGACAGCATGAGCAGGGGAGGGTCAGAGAGAGAGGGAGATACAGAATCTGAAACAGCCTCCAAGGTCTGCGCTAGCTGTCAGCACCAAGCCCGATGTGGGGCTCGAACCCATGAACCGTGAGATCATGACTTGAGCCGAAGTCGGACGCTTAACTGACTGAGCCACCCAGGTGCCCCTGTAACAAAGCTTTTGATTACTGTCAAAGGAAGATGGAACAAAATCTTTTAAAAGTTTACTTGCAGGGCACCTGGGTTGGCTTGGTTAATTAGGCGTCCAACTTCGGCTCAGGTGATGAACTCACAGTTCGCGAGTTCAAGCCCCATGTCAGGCTCTGTGTTGACAGCTTAGAGCCTGGAGCCTGCTTCGATTCTATGTCTCCCTCTCTCTGCCTCTCCCCTGCTTGTGTTCTCGTTCTCTCTCTCTCTCTCAAAAATAAATAAACATTTAAAAAAATTTTTTTAAGTTTACTTGCAAGGCACCTGGGTGGCTCTGTCGGTTAAGCAACCAGCCTCGGCTCAGGTCATGATCTCAAGGTTAGTGAGTTCAAGCCCTGCATTGGGGGTTTGCGCTGATAGTGCAGGGCCTACTTGAAATTCTCTCTTTCTCTCTGCCCCCTTCCTTGTTGTCAAATAAACTTTAAAAAAAAAAAAGTTTACTTGCAAGAAGTTCAGGTTTTAGCACGGGCTCACAAAATAGAAATGACAGTATTTAATAAAGATAAAACAAAACAGATTACCAGGTCTGTTAAATTCATTCAAGCAAATTTACTGCCTGCCTACTGGGCCAGTCGGCGTTTTTGTTTTTTGTTTTTTTGGTGCCAGTCTCTAAATGCTAGAAATGAGGTGGATGAAAAGATCCTGCCTCTGTGAAGCTTAAACTCTAGCCAAGAATTTTTCTCAACCTCAGAGAATACAATGACATTTGGGGCCAAAGGGTTCTTTGGGGGTGGGGGGGGGAGGAAAGGGGCTGTCCTCTACACTGTAGGATATTTCGTAGCATCCCTGGCCTCTACCCACTAGATACGAGTAATATTTCCCTAGTTGTGACAACCAAAAAAGTCTCCAGACATTCCCAAGCATCACGGGGGAAGGAGTAAGCAAAATGCCCACCTGGAGAATGTTGTAGTAGGAAAAGACTAGTATATTGCAGGTGGCAATCATTACTACAAACTAAAACAGTGTAAAGGATGGAGAGAAATAGTGAAAGCAATGAGGTTGGTAAAATGTTTTTACATCTGTAAACTTGGCTAGTCCACACTCCCAGTGATTCAAACACTAAACATTGCTATGTGAGTATTTTGCATAGTAATTAAAACTCCTAATTAGTTACCTCTGCGTAAGGGAGATTATCTGGGATAATCTGGATGGGCCTAATTGAATCAAGTGGAAGGCCTTAACGCAGGGCTGAGACCTACTGGAGAGAAGACCGGAGTTCTTCCTGCCCTGACTCGTGTCGATGGAAGCTTCAGCCTGTTTTCATGGGGCCCAGCCTGCCTGCAATCCATTCTTGCTTGTCCAGCCTACAGATGTGGGACTTGCTTAGACAGTTGCCACAAGGGAGAAGTTAATTCCTTGTGTTGATTCTGCTTCTTGGATTGAAATCTAATACCATCAAGAAGAGCAGCGCTAAGGTGACTTTTGAGAGACCTGAGGAAATGAAGAAATCATCTATGGGATAGTCCAGAGGAAGAGCATTCCAGGGAGCAAAGCACAGAGTACAGACGTTGAGGTGAGCGTAAACTCCGTGGATTTAGAATTTCTTTAATGTTTATTTTTGAGAGAGCAAGAGAACGCACAGGGGAGGGAGACACAGCAAATCCTGTGGATTTAAGCCAGGGAGAGTGGGGAGCAGTGAAGAGTTCTGGAAGCTGAGATATGATATGCTACTGAGATAAGATCATGCGGAATACACTAGGTCATGGTAAAGAGTCTGCAGTCATTCTAAGCCTAACAGCAAGCTACTGGAGGTTGTTAAGCAAAGGTGGGAAGAGAAAACAGTTAAGAGGCTGAAGACCCAGATAAAGTAATTTCGGCCTGGTCTTCAGTGGTCGTAGGGGAGGTTGTGAGAAGTGTTTTGATTATCAATGCATTTCATAGATAAGGCCAGTAAGTCTTGCTATCCCGTGGAAGGTAGGCCTTGAACTTGAAGACTCCAGTAGAAATTCCACGGCCTCGGCAATGAAGAGTGGGAGGGAAGCAGTCACTGAGCTGGAGGATAACAACTGATTTGGGGTGTGAGGATGCTTCGGATGAGGTTTTTGTGTTTTTTTAAACATAAGCTGAACTTGATGTATGTCTCAGACACCTAAGCAGAAGCAGTCTGGAGCTCAGAGGATAGGTGTTGCTGAAGACAGATTGGGAGTCCGTGGGAATAGATGGCGTGGGAAATTTGGTAACTTTAGGATTTCTGGGAGTGGGGAGAGTTGCCCCAGTGCATGATCAAGCAAACTGGGAAATCGCTGCATTAGGCCAAGCTTTCATGCAGTGCAATGGGCTATTTGTTCCTAATTTAACTAAGTATACATAATTCTAAGCTTTTGGCTGGACACTTAAAAAAAAAAAAAACCAGGAATTAACACACAGTAACATGCACAGATCTTAGGAGTTCATTCTACCAATTCTGACAATTATGCATATCCCCGGAACATTTATCTTTTCGGGAAAATTCCCTCCTGAGCCTACTAAAATACAACTTTCAACTAAGTATAACACACACGAGAAAACTACACCGAAGCTTACAGCTCCATGAAATTTCTACAAAGTGAACGCCCCTCTGACCAACATCCAAATCAAGAAACGGAACTGTAACTGAAACTAAAAGCGTCCTCGTGCTGTTTTCTGTCATTGTCTCCCCCCCCCCCCGCCCCACAAAGTAAAGACCATCCTGATTTTTAACACCATAGCTAATTAGTTTTGTTGGTTTTAGACTTCATTTAAATAAAACCAAACGATATGCACTCTTCTATGCCTGGCTTCTTTCCCTTAACGTCAGGTTTGGGAGATTCAGGCGTGTTGAATTTGGTCTATTTTTTTGTGCTGTACTCCCGAATCTTCCGTACAATTGGTCAGCCTGCATTTTTCTAGTAGCTTCTTTACTTCCAGACTTGCTGATTCTAACGGCTACCTCGAGCGATATATAAAGCTGTGAGGGTTATCTGACTTCCCAGAGGTTACTATTTGTTCCCAACCGTGTTGCAGACGTTTTACGGCTGCCGAAGACTGTAATAACCCGAAGAGGGGAAAATGATGTAATCCTAGGAAAACTCGGCCTACATTTTCTCCGGTCCACAGGCTCAGTTAAATCGAATCCGAACCTGAGTTAGAACTAGACAGTTGCAGAGTGGTCGGTGAAGGTAGCGAAAATACCAAAAAAGCGCTTCGTCAACGAAGCCTTGCGGGGTCACAATTACGGCACTAGAGGCTTTAACCCTCGGGCGGCTGGAACGGGTCCCGTCACGTGGCCAGCGCAACCCTACCTCCCAAGGCGCCCCCTGATGACGCCACCACATCGCAGAGGCTAAATCGCGGTGACGTATCCAGAGCGCCAGAACCCACTGAAAACCGAACGATTCCCTTCAAGATAACCCTACGTTAATCGTCTTCATCCTTCCCCGTTTTAACATAAAAAGTCCTGCCCCCTCCCCACTGTTTTTTGTCCTTTCCTCGAAGACGTTCTCACGTTAGCTTTACGTAAGATGGCTGCCTAGCCGCCCCAGTGCTCTAGAAGGGACGTAGTCGGCCGGCTCTCTAATCAACTTCCGACTTGGAGCCCGAAGACCCGTACGCTATTTCCGGGGCTGGGTTAAGGTAGGTCGAGACAGAGGCTCTGAGCTGCGACTGCGCAGCGGGGACACGCGAGGTCAAAGTACAATACGTACAGTCGCCCGGGTTCGAAGGAAGAGGCGTTAACTTTTCCCGGGCTCTTGGCGTATTCGCGAGAGTTGAGCGTTGCTAGGAGGCTCGGCGGGCGGGGCGGGGCGGGGCCAGGTTGGTCGGGGCGGGGCTGAGCGAGGCGAGCTGCGCGCGCGCTTTCAGGGGAGGGAGGGTGCGAGGGGGTGCGGCGGCGACGGGCTCGCGAAGGTTCCAGAGGCGCCGCGTGCGGGAGGCGGGCTGGGTGTCGCGCCGGGTCTAGTGTGCGCGCGGGCTGCGGGCGCTGCGACTCGGGCGGGTGGGGCCTGCGTGCCGGCGAGCGGGTTCGGTGGTGGTTCCTGTTCTCTGCTCTGCGCGGCTGCAGCTCGGGCCTTGCGTGACCCAGCCGGACCATGGCTTCAGCTTTGGAAGAGGTAAGGGTCCGGCCTCCTCCCTCACTCGGTCGTGCGGGGCTTTCGGCGCTGGCTCCCGGCACTCGCCCCCCACCACCTCCACGCCCCGTTCCCCGTGATGAGGTGCCTGGTGATCGCCTCTCCGGCTCCCTCCCGTGTCGTCGGGTCCCCGAGCTTCGCCGCGGCCGCCCACCCGCCCACCTGCAGCGGCCCCTGCCGGCTTCCGGCCTCCGCTGCCCCGGGAAAGTTGCCGATCGACGCCCGCCACTCAGCCCCGGCCCGAGCCGGTGGCTGTGGGCGCCGGGCTGTGTCGCGGCCCCCGGCTGCAAGTAGTGCCCGCGGTGGAGCTGGGTGAGCTGGTCACCTTCACGTTTTCCTCCGGCTCCGTCCGCTCCTTCTGTACTAGCCCGAGGACGTGAAGCTTCTTTAAATTAGTGCTGACTGCAGAAACCGAGGGTCAGGCCACCGTAGACCCGGCTGGAAGGTGAGAAGCCTTTCCTCCCGGCGTTTGGATTCTAGTCCTGTTTTCTCTACGCATATGAGTAGCTGTGTTACTTTGGACAAGTTACTGTGCTGCTCTGTGCCACAGTAGTATCCAAAAGGCTTCAAACCGTGCTTGGCAAAATTTAGTTTTAACTGGCGGTGGGGGGCGGGGGATAGCCTTTCTCTCTTTAAAGCTCTGTGAACCCTGAACGGGTGGGTTAACTTTTTTGAAGACTTAGTTTGCATAGTTGGAAAAATGGGAATAAAAATTGCTCTCTTCTTGGCCCAAATAGGATGTTACTACGTATTACTGTTATTCACAGAAAAAATGTTGAGTATTCACGAGATTTGTTTTCTGGAAATCTTGTCCTCAGTAAGAACAAGTCTGAAAAATCCCAGACTTGAGAGTATAAGAATCTGGTTTGAATGAAGTGTGTGTGTGTGTATTGGGAATACCTTGCCCCAGGTTTATGGTATGTGTTAAAGGTGGGCCTTGGGTTTCCGTCCCTGTGACTTGAGGAGCCCATCTCCCTACAGTGACTTTACAGTCACACGTATGGAGAGCTCAGTATTAATCCTCTGCAAAACAGGATTTTTCTCAGTTGGGCTACCTAGAAGTATACACTTAGGGACACTCCTGGGATAGTTTTTGGTATAAAATTTAGTTTTTTAACCATTTTAAAGTATTGGCTAGGTTTTTTCTTAATTTTTTTTTTTTTTTTTAATGTTTTATCTTGGTGCAGGCAGAGAAGGGCCAGGGGGTGGTGGGGACAGGATCCGAGGCGGGCTCTGTGCTGCCCGCAGAGAGCCTGATGCAGGACACAAACCTAGGAGCCGTGAGGTCACGTCCTGAGCATCCTGAGGTGGGACGCTTAACTGACTGAGTCGCCCAGCGTCCTTTCTAATGGTTTTTAGGATAAATATTCGGTGTCGCACAACTGTCACTACTCTATAATTCCACTTTTTCATCACTCCCAAAAGAAACCTATTAAGTATCTGTTAGGCAGCCACTTCCTACTTCCCCTCCCTCCTGCAGCCACTAATTACCTGTCACTATGGATTTGCCTACTCTGGACATTTTATGTAAATGGGTTCTTACAGTGTGTGGCTTTTTACCTTTTGGCTTTTTTCATTGCTTAATTCCTAGTTCATCCTTGGTGTGGCATGTGTTCCTTTTGATGGCCGAATAATATTCCATTACATGGATATAGCACATTTTGTTCCTCTGTCACTGACAGACTTCTGGATGATTTTTGGCTATTATGAGCTGTGCTGCTATGAGTACAACTTATTATGAGGACGTGTGTTTTCCATTCTGTGAGGTAGAGACCTAAGAGTGGAATTGCAGGAGCACATGAACTCTTTTCAAAGTGGCGTACCACTTGACACACAAGCAGTGTACGAAGGTTCCAATTTCTGTCCCTCTCTTAAGGCTTGTTATTTTCAGGGGTCTGTGGTGTTGATGTTGGCTATCCTAGTGGGTGTGAAATGGCATCCTATGGTGATTTTGATGTCCATTTCCTTAATGGCTATATTCAAGTCCTTTTGTTTTGAGGCATTTTGGTTTTAATGCTCCCTGATGAAGAATTTGGAAATAGTTAAAGCCTGAATGTGATTTTGCATAAGGAAAACAAATGCATGCCTCTGTAAATTAGAGGAGAAGCTACTGTATCTAAGACATCTTAAAGCATGTGTGTAGGAAAAGTACCAAAGGGATCAATCTGCAAATAGCAGAAGAACTGAGAAATTCCCTAAAACAGGTCTTTAAGTTGCTTCAGACTTAACAGTGGAAACCTTCCTTTTGTAGTAGGTGAGAGCCAAAATTGGCTGTAATGAGGCCTGAGAATTCTTGCTTAGTTCTGAGTTCTAAGTTTGCTAGAAACAATTCCTTTACAGTCAAGAAATAAAACATTTTGTTTAGACTTGATATATTTTCTGGGTTTTTTGGTCGTTAACTAAATCCATACTTGGGAACAAATATATTATTTTTACGTTTCAAAATTTTTATCATACTGGTATTAGAATCAATGTGAAGTTTTTAGACCACCGTAATAAACTATTGCTTTGAACTGAAGCATCTTGCTTTTGTGCTCAAAAGATGAAATTGTAGGGTTTGTTGTCTTAGTAATACTATTTAACCACCAAAAGGAACACATGCCACACCACGGATGAACTAGAGGTTATAATCCATGAAAAATAGGGTTTTGGGGGTGGGAAGAGTAGATAAGGACAGTAGACTGGCCACAGTTCAATTTTTATATACCATCTTTGTAGTCACAGAAAAGTGAAAGGAGGGCCATCTGAATTAAGAGAGATAATTTAAGACTTGGGGGTAAAAAAGCATTTGATTTTCTACAGATTTGGTTACTACAGTTTGTAAGACTTAAGAAATAAGACTTTTAAAGTGGTATATATATACAATGGAGTATTACTCGGCAGTTAAAAACAATGAAATCTTGCCATTTGCAACTACATGGATGAAACTAGAGGGAGAAAGACAAATTTATCATATGACTTCACTCATATGTGGAGTTTAAGATACAAAACAGATGAACATAAGGTAAGGGAAGCAAAATTAATAATAAAAACAGGGAGAGGGACAAAAACATAAGAGACGCTTAAATAGAACAAACATGGTTGCCAGAGGGGTTGTGGGAGGGGGAATGGGCTAAATGGGTAAGGGGCATTAAGGAATCTCCTTAAATTCTTAAATTCCTGAAATTGATGCACCATGTGCTAACCTGGATGTAAATTAAAAAAATAAATTATTAATAGAAAAGGATACAAGACTTTAAAACTCTACTTTGGACATTACACTAAGATATCAAGCATTTAAATATTTTTATATTGAGAAGTTTTTTTAATGTTTATTTTTAAGAGAGACCTTGCATGCCCATGGTGGGGGGAAGGGCAGAGAAAGAGGGACACAATACCAAGCAGGCTCAGGGCTAACAGTTTGACTGCGGGGCTCAGACTCAGGAACCTCAAGATCATGAGCTAACTAGAAATCAAGAGTCAGACACTCAACACTGAGCCACCCAGGCGCTCCTATACTGTTGTTGTTGTTGTCTTTTTTCAACTCGGCCATAGTCAAGTTGTTATTATCAAGCCAGAATGTAAAGTTATTTTAAGAACGATAAACCCCTTGTTTGTAAGGATCTTATGCATTTGCAGTATGTCAGGATAACTGGGGAAAAGGTTTCAAGCCGATTATCTTTCTCTGTAAAATGTTGGCCCTTTCTCTAGAAAGTAGAAACAGACACTGGCAGGCAGTGTGTTACACGAGAAGAACAAACAGGTGGTTTTTTCAGTGAACGAGGAGTTTGTCACACTTTGGATTGTTCGCGTAGGTTTTTCTCCTCTACGGTACAGCCAAGACCCAGACTTTTGACTGCAACATTACCCCTGAGATTCAGAATGACACTTCCTTTTTTTTTGTCCTTTATTTTTTTTTTAATTAAAAAAATTTTAATGTTTATGTTTGAAGGAGAGAGAGACAATGTTAGTGGGGGAAGGGCAGGGAGAGAGAGGGAGACACAGAATCCGAAGCAGGCTCCAGGCTCTGAGCTGTCAGCACACAGCCTGACACGGGGCTTGGACTCGTGACCGGCGAGATCATGACATGAGCTGAAGTCAGTTGCTTAACCAACTGAGCCATCTGGGCGCCCCAAGACTTTTTCTTAAAAGCAGAAATGGGTTTTTTTTTTTTTTTAATCTCTTGTCTTAAAAATGCAAATTTATTTATGTGTAGTATTTGAGGTAAGAGTCAGTGAGGAGCAGTTACAGAAAGTAGACTACTTCAGTAAATTTGCTGCAGTATTTCACCTTGTTCATCGTGTGTTTGCTCATCTTTTGTAAGATTTTTAAAATTACTGACATCTGATGACTAGAAGAGATGTTATAAGGAAATCTATGAATTGGCTTTTTTTTTCTTAGAGAGTTCTTCATCCAGCTTTATGAATCACAGAAATATCGTGTAAGTAAAATGTCCTAAAACAAAGGCAGATAAAAAAACATTGGCCAAAGTGAAAATTTTAGGCTTGATTACCTACTGCTACTTTAATATTAAATTTTCCTTAAAAAAGAAAATAGGAAGCTTCGGTTATATATAGTTCTACAGGCTGGAGAAAAGAATCCCAGGTTGTAACCCAGCCCTAGAAAATGTAAATGATCTTAATTCTTAGCTCTTCAGTAAATTGAAATGACCAGTGGGCATAATATCCAGCTATTGTCATTTTTATCATAGCTAACCTACTTTCTATTTTAACACAGCTACAGAAAGATCTAGAAGAGGTGAAGGTGCTGCTGGAAAAGACCACTAGAAAAAGAGTACGTGATGCTCTTACAGCTGAAAAATCCAAGATCGAGACAGAAATCAAGAACAAGATGCAGCAGAAATCACAGAGAAAAGCAGAACTCCTTGACAGTGAAAAGCCAGCTGCCATGGTGGCTCCCATTACAACAGGCTACACAGTGAAAATCAGTAATTACGGTATGACTCACTACCCTACATCCAGCTCTTTCTGCCTCCCAGCAACTTATTCCTGAGTAGTGACCCACTAACAAACTCAATTTTTTAGATAATCTCAGTGTTAGGGAAGAATACATTGTAGAAGCTGTTAACAAGAGAGCGAGATGGTTTAGTATAATGAGTAACAACAGAAATGAACCTATTCTGAAATATGGTTAGCATATAAGGAACACAGCTTCTTGTTTTGCTTTAATCGTGTTTTGCATTTTATTTTGCCAAACCACTACCAGTATTATTTAGGTAAATTGGAGAAACATCTTTGAGCGCCTAATATGTGCCACTGTTGTGCTTGGGCTTGTGGCAACAACAGTGATCAAGACCCGATCTTGCTTGTGGTGTGATTAGAACCCAGACCTACAACTAATACCATGTCACCCCGTTTTCCCTCAGTAGGTGGTTAGGAACAGTGCAGCTTCGGTGTGAGAAGCTTTCACGAGGAGGAGGGACGGTCATTTTTCTTTGTGCTCACAACATCAAGCACGTAGTAATCAGTTCCTATTTGCTTCAATGAATAGGGATTTGGGGAGTTCTGTGGGAGTACAGCTGATGTAATCCGAAGGAGGTAAGGAATGGAGAATTACAAGAGACACTTGAGTTTGAAGGGCGAGTTCGGCAAGTGTGAGGAAAGGAAGGGGATCACGTGAGCAGAGGAGACGCATGGAGACACGAAAGGGAACATGTGTTTTCTGTACTGTCACAATGAAGAGCAGTGTGTCGTGCTTCAGAGGTGTACTGTGCTACGATAAGGAGATATGTTGTGTGCCTACTCGGCCATAGGAAACTGGTCTGAGGTTGTAGGATTATGGCATGTCCCCAGCAACTTAGATTTGGGTTTAGGGATGGACTGAATGCATGGGAAGAAACTGGATGAAGTTCTGCAGAATTCTCTAGGACATCTTTTTTAACACTACATTTCGATTGTGTAGTTCTAAGCAAGAGACAGGGATATGTGTATTTAATCCACATATATAATAAATAATGTACACATTTTTAGTATATACTTTGTACATGAAACTTATATGGTTTTTGTGTGGACAGTTCATCTAGGATAGAGAATAATATGAATAGTTTGAGCTATACCGCAGTGGCATTTAGTGTAGCTATTGATTAGTGAAATTAGATTTGGATGAATTAGACTCTGAATGCTACTTTGTCAGGGAACTTCCTTTTAACTGCGTAGAGAAGCAGCAAGGATTATGAAATTAGATGATGCTGATGTTTAGCCATCCAGTTTAGTAGAGAATTATTGATATTTAGGTGTAGGAGAAAAATTCCACAAAATGAGCTGGGTTTTTTGTATTGTTTTTGGGGTTTTTTTGGTCTTAATTTTTTTGAGTATACTTGACCCATAGTGACATTAGTTTCAGGTGTACAGCATGGTGAGTCAGTATGTCTGTGGCATGCTGTGTCCTCACCACAAGCGTAGCTGCCATCTGTCACTGCCCAGCACTATTACAGTATCATCTGCCATATTCCCTCTGCTGGATCTTTTATTCCCCCTGACGTATTCATTCCATAACTGGAAGCCTCTGTCTCCCACTCCCCTTCATCACTGCACCTGTCTTTTCCCCACAACCCCGGCAGCCATTGGTCTGTTCTCTGTATTTATGGGTCTGTTTCTGCTTTTGTTTGGTGTTTTAGATTCCATATATAAATGAAATCATGGTATTTGTCTTTCTTTGATTTACTTCACTTCATAATACTCTTTAAGTCCTTCTGAAAGATGGCAAGATCTTTTTTATGGCTGTGTAATATTCCATATCTGTATCATACATATATATCACATCTTCATCCATTCATCTGTTGATGGACACTTAGGTTGCTTCCCTATCTTGGCTGTTATAAATAATGCTACAATAAACATAAGGTGCATATTGTTTCTAATTAGTGTTTTCATTTTCCAGAAGTAAATACTCAATAGTGGAATTACTGAATCATATAGTATTTCTATTTTAATTTCCTGAGCAACCTCCATACTGTTTTCCACACTGGCTGTACCAGTTGGCATTCCCACACAACAGCGCACAAGGGTTCCTTTTTCTCTACATCCTTATCTATGCTTGTTATTCTTGTTTTTGTTTTTAATTCTAGCCATTCTAATGGGTGTAAGGTGACATGTCATTGTAGTTTGGTATTTCCCTGATGATTATTGAGCATCTTTTCATGTGTCTGTTGGCCATCTGTTTGTCTTTGGGGAAATGTCTATTCAGGTCCTCTGCCCATTTTTCTTCATTGGATGTTGGGGGTGGGGTTTGGTATGGAGCTGTATATTAAGTTCTTTATATTTTTAATATTAACCCCTTATTGCAAATATCTTCTCCTTTTCAACAGGATGCCTTTTCATTTTGTTCATCTTTTTATGTACAGAAGCTTTTTACTTTAATTAAGTCTTAATAGTTTATTTTTGCTTCTGTTTTCCTTGCTCCAGGAGCCACATCTAGAAAAACGCTGCTGCAGCCAGTATCAGACATTATTGCCTATGTTCTCTTCTAGGAGTTCATGGTTTTATGTCTCATTTTTTGGTCTTTGGCCCATTTTGAGTTTATTGTTGTTTGTGGTATTAGAAAAATGAGCTACTCTTAGAAGAATGTATTTAGTGATCATGTTTCTTATTCTGAGGTATTAAAAAAGTGCGGAGGGGGCTTTGTGTTCTGTAAACCTGTATTTGAATCTTAGTTCTACCACTATCTAGATGTCTAACTTTGGGTAGATTACTTAACTGCCATAAGTTCAATTTCTCCATCTACAAAATTCTTCTATTTTAATTTTTCCAATGTTTCTGTTACTAGAACTTAGTTTTCTCCAGTTTTAGGAGCCATATGCATTTGCTGTTCTAGAGATAGTATGAGACTTCGTTCATGTCCCTTTTTTGTTGTTAATAGGATGGGATCAGTCAGATAAATTTGTGAAAATCTACATTACCTTAACTGGAGTTCATCAGATCCCCACTGAGAATGTGCAGGTGTATTTCACAGAGAGGTGAGTTTCACATTGGGGAAGATTAAGTCCGAGATTGCCTGATTACCAGTTCTTTTCTCTTGCAGTTTCTAAAACTGCTTAAATCTAGAATTATCCTTTACACCTGTTTTGAGGAGGTTATTCTCACCAGGGGTGGCCAAAAACACATCCTGGAATAAAACTTGCGGCTTTTTTTCCACAAGAGCTGTAGAGCACCTCTCCTAGAGGCAGAAAGCTCATGTATTCACTCTTGTGTTGTAGGTCATTTGATCTCTTGGTAAAGAATCTAAATGGGAAGAGCTACTCCATGATTGTGAACAATCTCTTGAAACCCATCTCTGTGGAAGGCAGTTCAAAAAAAGTAAGTTTGCTCTTTTTGTCATAATATTGTGAAACCTCATTAAATTGAACCTGGTTGATTTAGAATTGAGATGAGCTGGAATTTATCCTCTGTAACAGGGATCAGCAGACTACAGCCTGATCCTTTTAGTGGAACATGCCTGTGCTCACTTAGGTGCTGTCTGGGGCTGCATTTGTGCTATAATGGAACCACTAGCTGCACCAGAAGCCTGAAATACTAACTATCTGGCCGTTTGTGAACTCCTATTCTATGAGAATAGATTATTTGGCGCCTGGGCAGCTCAGTCAGTTAAGCATCTTATTTTGGCTCAGCTCATGATCTTCTTGAGAACCCCATTTCAGGTGAGCCCTGCTTCTCTCTCTGCCCCTCACTCCCTTGTGCCCTCTCTTTTTCTCTCTCTCAAAAAAAATTATTAAAATAAGGAGAGGAAGGGGCGCCTGGGTGTCTCAGTCGGTTAAGCATCCGACTTCCAGGTCATGGTCTCATGGTTCATGGGTTTAAGCCCTGCGTTGGTCCATGTGCTGACATTTAGCTCAGAGCCTGGAGCCTGCTTCCGATTCTGTATCTCCTCTCTCTGACCCTCCCCTGCGCACATGTGCGCGCTCCCTCTCTCTCTCTTTCTCTCTCTCTCTCTCAGAAATAAAACATTTTTAAAAAAATTTAAATTAGGGGAGGAATAAACTACTAAACTCAGAAAAGAGTGAGAACTGAGTTTTAATGCCAGTTTTGCTCCTTACTGGTTGTGATTTTTTGTCAGCTCACTTTACCATTCTGTGCCTCAAGTGTCCTCATTTGTACTATGGAAATAATTTATTTTACAAAGTTGCAGTTATAATGGTAGTGCTCAAATAATGGTAGCTTATATGTAATTTTTTAATAGTTTATTGTCAAGTTGGTTTCCATATAACACCCAGTGCTCACCCCCACAAGTGCCCTCATCCATGCCCATCACCCCCCCTTCCCCTCTCCCTCACCCCCATCAGCCCTCAGTTTGTTCTCAGTGTAAATTTTTGGTACATAAAAGGACTTCATCACTTAGCTTAACTGAAGTTAGTAAAACCTGTAAAAATAAAGTCTTTTAAAGTATTATGCATACTTTGCATTAGTTCAAGTAATTTTTTCTATTTAAATAAATAGGATTTAATGCATCTGTTACATGTGCCGTTTTGCTATCTGTGCTCATGCAGTTACATAGCAGGTTAAAGGTAGTATTAGAATGTAATTTACGAATCATCTTGTGTCTCATTGTTTACTTCATCCATTAATCCCATAGTTGAATGAATACTCAGTCATAGGAATTCTGTGGATCATTGTTGAGTTCTGTATTCTCTTGTTTTTTGCCTTATCTCTGTCTGACTCCTAATATACGTCTCCTTCAGTCACCAAAATCCTGCCACTCCCGTCTTTTTATCAAACACCCCAAGATCATCGCGTTTTACAGCCTTTCTCCTTGCGGTGCCCTTTCTTCCACATCTTGGGCCACTGCTCAGATTTCAGCTCAGAATCCTTCCCTAATGAAGTTCTTCCCTGAAACTCCGTTAACACCTTATCTTGGTTTTTGTCTTTATATTTGAAGGTATTCCAGTTTAACTTGTTCATGTTCTTTCTCTTCCGTAAGTGTTTGTGAACTATGGCCTATATTTGTAAAAGTATTACTGACACATAAAACAGGTCCTACACATAATAGTAATTTGAGTAAATGTTTTCCAAATATCCATGCTCTCTCCATGTGTTCTAAGTTGTACCTGTTTCTTTTCTTCCAGGTTAAGACAGATACAGTTCTTATCTTATGTAGAAAGAAAGCAGAAAACACAAGGTGGGACTACCTGACTCAGGTTGAAAAAGAATGCAAAGAAAAAGAGTGAGTTTACTTTCAGTTTTTTAAGAATTCTAATGTATTCTTTGCTGGGATTGTAGATTTTTAACACTTTGCTGTTGTGGATAAGAGTCTGTGATTTGACCATCCCCTCTTCATCCAACCGATTATCTTCTGTCTTTCAACTGTCAGACCCTATCTGAAGAGGGCACGTGTCCAGCAAGTTGCTTTATACCAAGGGCTTTAGTTTCGGTTGGGTTTTTTTTGTGCTGGTTCATTTTTGTTTTTATTCATTCATTCATACATACATCATACGTACATACTGGTTTTTAACACTGAGCCAGTGTTGCTTCTATACGGATACCAGGTCCTTTCTGAGATTCCATTTCATTAGTCTAAGATACCACATAGAATTTTTTTTTAAGTAGGCCTCACACACAATGTGGGGCTTGAACTTAAAAGCCTAAGATCAAGAGTCATGCACTTATGTGGCGGAACTACCCATATATACTTTGGAATTCCACAGAAGTTTCTTACATGTAATTTAGTTTCACTGTCACACTGGTGTAGAGTGAAAAAGTAACGATACTTCCTTCCCAGGTCAAACTGTTTCTCTGCTTTAAATGTCCTGCAGTAGCGATGTCCTACATTGAGTCACTTAGCCTTCCTTCCACATTTCTCTCACTCCTTCCCTGGTACCCTGCATGCACTTGATTGGCTAGGGTTAGGAACTATCTGAATTGATTTTAAATCAGAAATGAATTACCTGAGTCCAGGATCATGTCTTTGCCTGTTTCCTCAGAGCCTAGTTATATGATCTAGCACTTAATAAGTGAAGAATATAATTGGCTCTGCTTAGACATTGAGAGGCATTGATTATTTTAAGAACATAGCAGTAAATGGGATCATTAATACATATTTGTATCTCCGTTATTTTTCTTTTTAACAGAAAGCCCTCCTATGACACTGAAACAGACCCTAGTGAGGGATTGATGAATGTTCTAAAGAAAATTTATGAAGATGGAGATGATGATATGAAGCGAACCATTAATAAAGCCTGGGTGGAATCAAGAGAGAAGCAAGCCAAAGGAGAGACAGAATTTTGAGACTTGAAAGTCATTTTGGGGACTGTGATGTGGAAATACTGATATTTCCAAGGAGGAAATGTTGGTGAGCTGCACAGATAAATTTGACAGATAACTATACTTACATAGCCTTCTTGTAAGTAAAGGCAGTGAATTCTCCCATTTCCTACTGGAGAATTTATTTAAATATGCTTATTAAAAACTTCCCCCAAAGATGATTTCCTTAGTAATCTGGGCATTTCGTTCAAAAAAGGGTAATATTGTATTCTTGTGTGAAATGTAAAAAAACAAGTCTTGCCTAATGATAATGCCACATTGTGTGTATTTTTGTTCAGCTAAGAAGTAGAAAACAAAAATTCTTGTTTGCCGATAAGCTCCTGACATCGCCTCCCACCGATGTAAGAATAAGTAAAAATAAAACCTGGATTTTTGCATAAAATGCAAATTTGTACCTGTGTACTTCAAGGTTGTTGGTAGAGTTTTTCTGTGAGCAGCTTAGTCTATATATGCCGCACATTACCATGCCCTAATAATCCAATCACAAATGTTTTTCTCTAAAATATATTTATAAATAAGTTAAAGCTAAACCTATTTGACAATAATAACCATCTTTGTATATACAAATTAGTAAGTTGCCATGGATCAGATGGCTTACAAAAGCAGTAACGGTAAAGCAAAAATAAATGAAAACCCATCTATTCTTATGTTCACTCAAGTTGGTTAGGTTTTTGTTCAGTGGAATAGTTCTATCTATCCAGGAGTGTGTCACAGAAGGCTTTAAGAGGGAGGATTTGTTTTCGAATGACTCCCCCTAGAAATCTGAAGTAAGAGCAAGATGCCCACGATATATTTGCCACTGCAGTTACATAAGAGAAAGCAAACACGTAGAGGAGAAAAATCAAGAGGATTAACCAAAACTACTGTGATAATCAGAATTTGGTAAAAGTGGTAGGATAAATTTGTTATATAGGATAACAAAAATTTAACATAACCTTTATAATAAAAGCTGTGGGATACTGGCATATAAATAAAGAGACCATTGGAACAGAACAGAAACAGATCCAAGGCATATGGAAGTTTTAGAATATAGTAACAGCATTTCAAAACTGAAGGAGAGCCAGGCATTTGAGATAATAGCTAAACAGAGCAGAGATCTAAATGTACAGATGAGGCCTTACGAGGACTAGGAGAGGGACAGAGCTCCACTTGAACACAAGAGTGAGGGAAACTATACCATGTGACTTCAGATCTAGAATAAAGCTAAATGCAGTAAAACCTCGGTTTGTGAGCATACTTTCTCCCGGAAACATGCTTATAATCCAATGCACCTGTATGTCAAAATGAATTTCCCAAGAAGTGGTGAAGCTCAGATGATTTGCTCCACAACCCAAGAATATGCATATAAAAATGATTACAGTACTATAATACAAAATAATAAATAGAAAATACAAATAAATTCACCTGCATTTACCTTTGAAAACCTCCATGGCTGGTATGAGGGAGATAAGAGAGGAGGGTTATTGTGTAGGAGGACTTTCATTGTCACAAACGCATCACTGAGATCTACTGGCTCAATGGAATCTTTCTTCCGTGCAACTTTAACAAGGAACCTATCCAATGACACTTGCTTTTGCCTCCTTTTGAGGATTTTGCAGAAATGTGACATTGCACTATCGTTAAACATTCATCACTTGCACTGCTACAGCCTTATTTGGGTGGTGCTTTTCTCCAAAATTTTGCTGTTCCCTACATGTTACACATCTTCTTAATCTCACTTGAAACAAATGATTCCTCTGCCTTTTTCTCTGCAGGTGAGATGTAGACTTTGTATAAAATCTTGCAATTTTGGCCACTCACGTACCTCGTTTGTACTTAGCGATGATTTCCTTAAGTTCCACTATAATCCTCTCCTGCTTACTGCCTTTCTTTTCAACCTGTTTTTCTGCATGGGGCCCATTGTATACTCGCACGGATGTTGACTACAGTATAGTATTAATAAACTGTCATACACTGTATTTAATGCAGCAGAGGAAAGGGTCTGTATCTGCAGGCAGCGTGCCCTAGAATGAAGCAAAGCAATTCCTAAGCTCACTCTTGTAGGAAAAGCAAAGAAAGGACTGTCCATAGGTGTTTTGAAATGATAAAAAATGCACTCGTGCCAGTTGTGGGCACCTTCCAACATTCTGAAAAATCTTGATTTCTGCCTAACACCGCAGCCTGAGACCAATCATCCAAGTTTGGGAAATAATCACCCACAATCCCACAGTGAGAGAGAGAAAACCTTTGGCTCAGTTGTGATCATGTGATGTTCAGCATCACTTACTACTTGTATTTCAAAATATCGCTCATTTATCACATTAGAAATGTTTGCTAGTCTTGTGGAACATTCCAAACCCACGTGTTTCATTGTATTAATCACCCAAGTAACCCAAGTTACTTGCAACCCAAGGTTTTAGTGTATTTGTAATTTTAACTACCTAATACCCACATGGCAAAGTAACCTAACCCCCAAAACATGACAGTACTATGGAGAGGATTCCCAAATTAAGTTCATAAAGAAATAAAAGTAACTGTAACATGCAAAAAGATGCTTGCTTATTCATTTTTTTTTAATTCAACAAGATTTTTTTTTTCTGGGTGTTTAACATTTTATTTCTTGTAGTTTTGAGTTATAAAAATACATATGAATTTTTTTTCTTTTTTACAAATAGTTTATTGTCAAGTTGTTTTCCATGTAACACCCAGTACTCATCCCCACAAGTGCCCTCCTCCATGCCCATCACCCCCCTTCCCCTCTCCCTGACCCCCAACAGCCCTCAGTTTGTTCTCAGCATTCAAGAATGTCTCATGGTTTGCCTCTCTCCCTCTCCCCTACCATTTCCCCCCTTCTCCCCATGGTCCTCTGTTAAGTTCCTCCTAATCCTCCTATACGTGCAAACATGATATTTGTCCTTCTCTGCCTTATTTTGCTCAGCGTAACACCCTCAAGGTCCATCCATGTTGCTACACTTGGCCAGATTTCATTCTTTCTCATTGCCATCGTATAGATAAACCGTATCTTCTTGATCCATTCGTCCGTTGATGGACACTTAGGCTCGTTCCATGTTTTGGCTATTGTTGAGAGTGCTGCTATGAACATTGGGGTACATGTGCCCCTATGCATCAGCACTCCTCTATCCCTTGGGTGAATTCCTAGCAGTGCTATTGCTGGTCATAGGGGAGTTCTATTGTTAATTTTTTGAGGAACCTCCACACTTGTTTTCCAGAAGGGCTGCACCAGTTTACATTCCTGCCAAAAGTGTAGGAGGGTGCCTGTTTCTCCACATCCTCTCCAGCATCTAGAGTTCTCTGATTTGCTCATTTTAGTGACTGGTGTGAGGTGGTATCTCAGTGTGGTCTTGATTTGTATTTCCCTGATGAGAGATGCTGAGCATCGTTTCATGTGTCTGTTGGCCATCTGGATGTCCTCTATGGAGAAGTGTTTGTTCCTATCTTCTGCCCATTTCTTTACTGTGTTGTTTGTTTTTCAGGTGTGGAGTTTGGTGAGTTCCTTATAGATTTCGGATATTAACCCTTTGATATGTCATTTGCAACTATCTTTTCCCATTCCATTGGTTGCCTGTTAGTTTTGTGGATTGTTTCTTTGGCCGTGCAGAAGCTTTTAATCTTGATGAGGTCCCAGTAGTTTATTTTTGCTCTTGATTCCCTTGCTTTTGGGGATGTGTCAAGTAAGAAGTTGCTGCGGTGGAGGTTGTTCATTTTTTTTTTTTAATGTTTTTTTACTTATTTCTGAGAGAGAGAGAGAGACCATGTGAGCAGGGGAGGGTCAGAGCTCTGAGCTAGCTGTCAGCACAGAGACTGACACAGGGCTCAAACCCATGAACCGTGTGATCATGACCTGAGCTTAAGTTGGACGCTCAACTGACTGAGCCACCCAGGCGCCCCGATGCTTGCTTGTTCAGAAGATGAAAACATTGTTTATCTTTTGCCAGAAACACTCCAAAAGTTTAACATACTATTAAGAGTATGGGGAAATACCTAATAAGGGAACGGAATAAAAAGCTTATAAGGGTAAGAACTCCCATAGAAAAGTAGCTGGTAATTTCTACAGAATTATCTACACATCTATCCTTTGACTCACAAGTCTACTTTTGGCCTCTTTACCACAGCTAACACTGGCAAAAATTTATAATGATAAATGAAAAAAAAAAAAAGAAAGAAAGAAATAGCCAAATGCCAATTAATGACTAGCCGAATAAACAGGTAACATCCAGTGGGAGAGTCCTTAACAGTCACAAAAAGAAATGATTATTTCTCCATATTGGTACAGAAAAATTGTCAGGATACTAGAAAAGCAAAATGTAAGCATGGTTTATGGGATACTTCCCTTAGTGTTAGGGTGAGAAATGTGAATCCACATAATGTATCTGCTTGTTTCAAAAAGAAGCTAGAAGAGTCACCCAAACTGGTAAGAACGGTCACCAATAGGGCAAAGAACAAGGCAGGATGGAAACAACACTAGTGGGTGTACTTTTGTCTATAGTTTCAATTTTAGAACCATCAAAATTAAGAATTTAAAAGCTAAATATGGGGTGCCTGGGTGGCTCAGTCAGTTGGGCATCTGACTGCTCAGTGTACAGCCTGCTGAAGATCGTCTCTCTCTCTCTTCCTCTGCCCCTCTGATCCTTGCTCTCTCAAATTTTAAAAAGCTAAGTAAACTTTTGAAACATTTGAAAACATACAAAGTTGTGACACATTACTTACAAGTGACTTTAAAATACAGTGTTCTGTCCATTGCTTTTGGGACGGAAAAGACAAAAAGAACCATAGGTAGAAGACTTAAAGCTGCAATTACTAGTGTTAGGAGTAAAACCAGTAGTATGTTAAAGCTATTTTCATGTATATGATAAAAGTAATGAACTGGGTTAATATTTTCACAAGTACAGAATCAATACAACCAACCATTATTTTTTTTAATGTTTTATTTCTAGGAGAGAGAGAGAGAGACAGCGTGAGCAGGGGAGGGTCAGAGAGAGAGGGAGTCACAGACTGAAACAGGCTCCAGGCTCTGAGCTGGCAGTCAGCACAGAGCCCGACGCAGGGCCCGAACCCACGAACCACGAGATCATGACCTAAGCGAAAGTCCGACGCTTAACCGACTAAGCCACCCAGGTGCCCCATTATTATTTTTTTAAATACACATTTCCTGGCAACACCCACTGAGAGGGCCTAAAGGTGAGGATAATTCAGAATTCAGTAGCAAAGAGTAGCAACTTTAGTGCTCAGATGTGGTCTCTAAACATTTCCTACAAAAGGACCAGGGACCCTTGAAGAAAATGTCTGAGGCAGAAAACACCCAAGGTAAGCCTGGGTTCTCTTATGCCAGAAAGTGAGGAAATACCAAATTTCCTTCATTAAATCAACAGGACGTAGGACCCAATAGTGGCTGGACAAGGGGCAGTGGGAGGATTAACTTGAGCATCAAAATACTGTCTGGAGTACACTGAAGCAAATCTACAGAAAATCTCCGAGTTCATAACGATAGTGAAAAATCATGTTACTTTTGAAAGTTGTCAGAGTACTAACTCATTTACTCTGTAACTTAAAATGGAATCATGCATTTATCTGTATGTAGTCTTGATTGAAAGAAACGAATTTCAGGGAAGTATCAAGAAAAAGTCCTTATAGAAAAATGCCAGCTAATAAAGAAAAAATGAGGGAATTTACAAAGTCACTATTGTAACCTTAATGAAATAAAGACTAGGGTAAAAATCATCAATGAAACGCTAAAATCCTTAGGGGACACACTGAATGCAGGGAGCAGGCTGCCCCTACCCGAACCCATTAGTCCATTAGCACTGAAAGTTGGACAGATATTTGCTTTCTTTTTCTTTAAGGGTGAATTTTTATTTCAGAAATAACCCCTTGTGGGTTTTTAAGCTTATTTATTTTGAGAGAGAATGCATGAGCGGGGATAGGGCAGAGAGGGAGAGAGAGAGAATCCCAAGCAGGCTCCATAACGTCAGCACAGAGCCCAACATGGGGCTCAATCCCACAAACCGTGAGATCATGACCTGAGCTGAAACCAAGAGTCAGACACTCCACTGGCTGAGCCACCCAGGTGCCCCAGATATGTGCCTTCTGATGTGACAGGAACTAGGACACAGCACACTTGTGAAGATTTATCCCTTAAATACTAAGCCTGGACCCTGTCAAGCCTCTGAATGTAACTATGAAGAAGCACACAGCCAGATGTTGGCCACTTTACAGGACAAATGAGTTATAGGAGGAAAACAGGGATGAGAGGCACAGCAACCAATGAAATATACAGATTGTGCTCGGACCCAGGTTCAAACCAATGAAGAGGGTGTCCTATCAATGATCTGCCAGAAACCCACAGATCTGACGTCCTAATTACTGGCTGCAGTATTAACTAGAGCATTCCAGTTTTAGTTGTAATACAAACTTGGGAAATAAGAATCCATGGTTTGTGCTAATTCTCACGGCTTCACCTCCACCAAAATTCCAGACTCTGCTCTCCAGCTGCCCATTGGACTTCTCCATGGAGAAGACACATGGACGGATCTCCAACAGCACAACTGAAACCTGAACTCACCCGGTTTCCTCCAAACCCATTCTTCTCTTCCTGTATTTTCTATCTTGGTGCTGCCTTCTCCCATCCTCCTGGTCACCCTTACCAGGAACAGAGAGTCCCCTTTTCTAGTAAATATAATCAGCCTCTAAGTCTGGCCCAATTTTCTTTCCTAAATAAGACTTTTAAAATCTGTCCCACTTGTCTTCTTTGCTAATGACTGAACTCCCTTTGTCCAGGCCCTGGTTTTCCATAATGATTATGACATCTTCCTAACTGGTTATCTTGCACGGAGCCTTTTCTCTCACGGCCTAGATCTACCATGTGGTCGTCAGTTATCTGTAGAGGAAACCGATGATGTAATTCCTCTGCTTAAAACTCTCCAGCAGCCAGTATTTGTCTTACCTTCACATAATGTGACCTCTTCCATGACTGGGCCTTTGTCTTGGGTCTCATCTTCCTCATACAATGAAGTGGCTGCTTGCACTGTTCCCTCTGTAAACATCTCGTGCCTTGCCTCCTGAATGAAGTTCAGATGTTTGCTCCAGAAACACTCTTCTGATGGCACACAGGGGCTTCCACACTACATCCTGGACATTTCTGTCACTGGGTGGTCACTGCTCAGCTACTGAACAAGACCACCTTCTGCTCTCTCTACTCATTTCTGTTATAGACAACAATACACTATTCCTACAAAACTGCTCCTCTTTGGATAGATTTTCAGGGGCTTAAGGAGACATTTTGTTCTGAAGGCTGTTGAAGGTGGAACAAGGAAACATTTAGTGGTTTATGTTCCGCCATCACACAAAGAAGTTGAACATTAGACCATCAAGAACATCGGCTCTACCTTCCAACATAGCACACAGTGTTCCTCTAACAATGGGAACTAGTAAAGTGCACTGCGCAGGTCAGGGAAGCCCAGCCCCGGATTACAAATGGCCACAGATGAGCTCCTTGTCCATGTGTTGCATTAACTATTAGATAAAATTGCTTTATGAAATAATGCCCTTAAAAAAATATAGGAACCCTTAGGATGTTGCTAAAAGATTAAATGTGAAGGAAAAGAGGCATACAGAGAATATTTTCACAGAATATTTATTACTCTACTCCTTGTACTATGCATGGAAATAGTATGTTTAATTTTTAAGTCCAAGAAAAAAGAGAATTCACAGACAGCCTGAGTTCACTGACAGAATGAAACAACCCAATTTCTTCATTGAAAATTAAAAAGTAATTTAGATGTAGGCAACATCAGGCAGACTCGACCCCTATGAAGCCAGGGTTTTGTCTGTTAGAAGTCTCTTCTTGCCGGAACTGCCCAGTGGGTCCGGAGCGGATCACCACATTGCCCGCTGAACCCCCGACAGTTGCCCGTGGTCTGCCAAGTGACGGAAGACAATACGACTGAGCCTCCAGCGCCGCTTTACACCACGTGGACGGGACGTCATAACACACCGATTTCGGATTCTAACAGGACAGCTATCCCGGGGAAGGGCAGCAATTTCTCCATCGGCCACTTCCTAAGGGAAGTCACAACATTACACATATCACATGCATATACTTATTCTATATGCTTAAGTCAATGCTTACAGTAAGGGAACAAAGGGCTAGAGTCAGTGATGTAGCCAGTTTGCTCAAAGAACCTTGGACACTGTAGTGAACCCTAACCTCTGGGTAGAAACAAATGGACCAGAAAAATGACAGAAATGTGTCACAAATGTGTGGCATGCTCCCAATAAGATATTTAAAATTTTATAGAAATTTAACATAAATACACAAGAATCTACAAACCGGAAATGTAACAGCTCAGCAACTTTTAACAGTACATCTGAGTAATAAGTACCTAGAATACAAAAACAAAACAAAACCATGATGGGCACCCTGGGTCCTGCCTGTGCCTCCTTTCAGACACTGAGCACAGATACCATCTGCTAACAGCTCACCTGATTACCAACACTGTAGATGAGCTTTTCATATTTAGAATTTTATATAAATCTAACCATACAGGAGGCATTCTTTTTTATTCATTTCTCTTTGGCTTCTTCCATTCAATACTATGCTTGTGAAATTCATGCATACTGTTTGATTTTCATTGTGTGACCATACTGGAATTCGCTTATCCATTCTACACATAATGGACATCTGGGTGGTTTCCAGTTCTGAGCTATTATGAATAGGGCAGCTGTATAAATTTTCTTCTTTCTGAATCTTTTTATTTCTATTGAAGTACAGTTGACACACACTGTCAGCTATAGGTGTACACCATGGAGATTCAACAAGTCTACACATTACGCTGTGCTCATCCACGTGTGGCTACCAACTGTCATCACACAACACCATTGCAACGCCATTGACCATATTCCTCATGCTGTACCTTCCATCCCCGTGACTTATTCGCCCATAACAAGAAGCCTGTACCCCCCACTCCCTCTGGCTAAACAGTTTGTTTTCTGTATTTATGGGTCTGTTTCTGTTATTGTTTTTGAGAGTTCACATATAAGTGAAAGCATATAGCATTTGTTTTTCTTATTTCACTTAGCATAATACTTTCTAGGTTCATCCATGTTGTTGAAAATGACAAGATCTCATTCCTTTTTATGGCTAATATGTCACTTATTATATATATGTATATATATGTATACATACATGCATCTTCTTTATCCAACTTTTTGTCAATGGGCACTTAGGTTGCTTCCATATCTTGGCTACTGTAAATAATGCTGCAGTAAACACAGAGGTGCATGTATCTTCTTGAATTAGTAAACACTAATTCACTTTCCATAGGTAAACACTCAGTAGTGGAATTACTGACTCATATAGTATTTTATTAAAAAATTTTAATATTTGTTTTTGAGAAAGAGAGAGAGAGTGTGTGTGTGCACGCGTGAGAGCAGGGGGCAGCAGAGAGAGAAGGTAAGAGAAAGAACCCAAGCAGGCTCTGTGCTGTCAGCGTAGAGCCCAATCCGGGGCTCAATCTCACAAAATTATGACCTAAGCCAAAATCAAGAGTCAAACACTGACTGAGCCACCCAGGCGCCTTGACTGAATCATACAGTATTTCTTTTTAAAAAATTTTTTAAATGTTTATTTCTTTTAAAAAAATTTTTTTAATGTTTTTATTTATTTCTGAGAGAGACAGAGGGACTGTGTGAGCAGGGGAGGGTCAGAGAGAGAGAGGGAGACACAGAATCTGAAACTGGCTCCAGGCTCTGAGCTAGCAGTCAGCACAGAGCCCAACGTGGGGCTCGAACCCACAAACCGCGGGATCATGACCTAAGCAAAAGCCGGACGCTTAACCAACTAAGCCACCCAGGCGCCCCAGTATTTTTATTTTTAATTTCTTGAGTAATCTCCACACTGTCTTCCACAGTGGACACACCAATTTATATTCCCACCAACAGTGCACGAAGATTCCCTTTAATCCACATCCTCGCCAACACTTTTTATCTTTCTAATTCTAACCATTCTGACAAGTGGAAGGTGAGTGACATCTCATTGTAGCTTTGATTGGCATTTCCCTATGATTAGTGATGTGAAGCATCTGTTCACGTGTCTGTTGGCCATCTGTCTTCTTCAGAAAAATATCTATTCAGGTCCCCTTTTTTTTCTCTGCCTATTTTTAATTGAATTATTTGCTTTTTGGGAGGTGTTGAGTTGTAGGAGTTCTTTACATATTTTGGGTGCTAACCTCTTATTATTTGCAAATATCATCTATTCATTAGGTTGTCTTTTCATTTTGTTGATGTGCAAAAACTTTTATTGTGGTGTAGTCCTAATAATTTATTTATGCTTTTGTTTCCCTTGCCTAAGAAGACAGGTCTAGAAAAATGTTGCTACCACTGATGTCAAAGAAATTACTGCCTATATTTTCTTCTAGGGGTTTTATTGTTTCAAGCCTCACATTTAGGTCTTTAATCCATTTTGAGTTTATTTCTGGGTATGGTTAAGTGGTCCACTTTCCCAAAAGCATTTATCAAGGAGACTGTCTTTTCCCCATTGTACATGCTTGCTTCCTTTGTTGTAGACTGAGTTTCTGTTCCAGTGATCGATGCCTATTTCTGTGCCAGTACTGTTTTGATTATTATTGCTTTGTTGTACATTGAAATCTGGGATTGGGATACCTCCAGCTTTGTTCTTTCTCAAGATTACTCTGGCTACCTGAGCTCTTAAGTAGTTCCATAAAAATCGTAATATTATTTGTCCTAGTTCTGTGAGAAATGCTGGTGGTATTTTGATAGGGATTGCACTGAATCTGCAGATTGCTTTGGGTATGTGGACATTTATGCAATATTAATCCTTCTAATCCATGAGCATGGAATATTTTTCCATTTGTTTGTATTGTCTTTCTTTCATCAATGTTTTTATAGTTTTTAGAGTATAGATCTTTCAACCTTTTGGTTAGTTTATTCCTAGGTATTTTAATGTTTTGGGTGCAACTATAAATGGAACTCTTTTTTTTTTTTACTTTTTTAATATTTTTATTCATTTTTGAGAGACAGAGAGAGATGGTATAAGCAGGGGAGGGGCAGAGAGAGAGGGAGACACAGAATCTGAAGCAGGCTCCAGACTCTAAGCTGTCAGCACAGAACCCCATGTAGGGCTTGAACTCACAAACTGCAAGATCATGACATGAGCCGAAGTCAGCCCCTTAACCAACTGAGCCACCCAGGTGTCCCAGGAATGTTTTCTTAATTTCTCTTTCTACTACTCTGTCATTAGTGTATAGAAATGCAACCAATTTCTGTGAATTAATTTTGTATCCTGAAACTTTACTGAATTCATTTATTACTTCTAATAAGTTTTTTGGTGGAATCTTTAGGGTTTTCTATGTATAGTATCATGTCATCTCCAAATAGTGACAGTTTAACCTCTTCCTTGTCAATAGGGATGCTGTCTATACCTAACTTTTGTCTGACTGCCGTGGCTAGGATTTCCAGTACTATGTAGAATAAAACTGGCAAGAGTAGACTCCTTGTCTTGTTTCGGTTCTTAAAGGAAAAGCCCTCAGTTTTTCACCACTATATACATTCTTGTTTAAGTCATTTGGAAAATATGTGAATGTATTTCTGTTGTCTCCCCATGTTTTTTCCCAGCTTTACTGAGATATAATTGACACATAACATTGTGTAACACATTTGATACATGTATGCCTTGCAAATAATTACTACAATGAGGCCTAATGAACACCTCCATCATCCCAAATAATTACCTTTTATGGGTGATGAGAACATTTAAAATTTATTCTCTTAGCAAGTTTCAAGCATGTAATACAGTATTGTTAGCTATGATCACAACTTTATATGTTAGATTTTCAGAACTTATTCAGTTTATAAACAGAAGTTTGTATACTATGCCCAACATCATCTCATTTCCTCCAGCTCCCAGCTACTGGGAACCACCATTATAATCTGTTCCTATGAGTGTAACTTGTTCCACATTACATACGTAGTGAGATCAAATAATATTTGTCTTCCTCTGACTTATTTAATGTAATGCTCCCAAGGTACATTTAGGTTTCTGCAAAGGGCAAAATCCCATTACATTGTGTGTGTGCGCGCGCACGTGCACACACTTTCTCTGAATAAATATTTGCTGACAACCTTCATTTGCTGACATGCAGGATGTTTTCATGTCTTGGCTACGGTGAATAATGCTGCCATGAACATGGCGGTGCAGATATCTTCTTGAAATACGATTTTCATTTTCTGCAGATACTCAGAAGTAGAACTGCTAGATCATATGGAAATTCTAATTTTAACTTTTTGAGGAAACTCCAGTTTTCAATAGTGCACGAATTTACATTTCCACCAACAGTGCACAAGGGTTCCCTTTTATCCTCATCCTTGACAACACTTACCTTTTGTCTTTTTGATAATAATCATTCTAACAGGTATAGGGTAATATCTCATTGTAGTTTTGATTTGCATTTCCCTGATGGTAAGTAATGTTGAGCATCTTTTCATGTACTGGTTGGGGACATTTGTATGTCTTCTTTGGAAAAATGTCTACTCAGGTTCTCTGCTCACTTTTCAACAGAAATCGTTTTGGGTTGTTTTGCTGCTGTTGTTTTTTTTCTTTGCAACTGAATTAGAGGAGTTCCTTACATATTTTGGATACTAATCCTTGCTCAGATCTTTTGCCATGCAGAAACTATTTACTTTCATGCAGTCCCACTCATTTATTTTTGCTTTTGTTGCTTATACTTTTGGTGTCGTATCTAAAAAATTATTGCCAATAGCAATGTCAAGGAGTTTCCCTTACGTTTTCTTCTAGAGGTTTTATAGTTTCAGGTTTTAAGTTTTCACCCATTTTGAGTTAATTATTGTGAGTGGTATAAGACAGAGGTCCGGTTTCATTCTTTTGCACATGAACATCCAGTTTCCCCAACACCATTTATTGAAAACACTACCCTTTCCCTATCAAGCAGTTTTGGTTCCCTTGTTGGGAATCAACAGGAATGGGTTCTGGGCTCTTGGTTCTCTTCCACTGCTCTATGTTTTATGGAATATCAAACTATTTT